CTCTCCAAGACAGCAGGGCTAGCAAAAGGCAAAGAGTGGGATTAAACACTGGCCCAGCAAGTAGCAATTTGGGAGTTTCTCTCCTACTTTCTCTAACTATTTTGTAACCTTGTTTTTGCTTTTTTGTTTGTTTGTCTTAATTCTGGATGGTAGTTGTATTGCTTGCCTTTGCATCTGTACATCAATGACATGACTTCACTCAGTGAACATTTACAAATTGCCTTTGTGCATGGGTGCAATAATGAACCAACATGGATTCTGCCCAATGATGTCAAACTGAAGAAAAACTTGTGCAAAAGTTAGAAGTCAGTATAATCAACCCTCAGTATCCATGGCGGATTGGTTCCAGGAACCCCTATGGATACCAAAATCCAAAGATGCTCAAGTCTCTTATGTAAAATGGTGTAGTATTTGCATATAACCTATGCACATCCTCATTATATACTTTATGTCATCTCTAGATTACTTATAACACTGTATATAATGTAAATGCTATGTAAATAGTTGTTATATGGTTTAGGGAATAATGACAAGGAAAAAAGTCTGTACATAGTAAAAAACATCTATCTATTTTTCTTTCTTCAAATATTTTTAAATCATAATTGGTTGGATCCACAGATGCAGAACCCACAGATATGGAGAGCTGACTATAGGTGGTTAAAAACATTGAGAGGAGTTAGTGTTACTGATGCTTGGAAAAGAGAAAATTTCTGGCTAGATGTTAAGAAGAAAATAAGGCAAGACTTTAGAAGAGGTGGAATTTGTCTAAGAATTTCACTGGGCACTATGGAGCCACATAAGTCTTTTGAGTTGGGAAGTGACATATCAGTTGCTATGACAGCTCTGAGTACACTGGATTGGAGAAATCACACCTGTAGGCAGAAAGATCTGTTAGGAGACTGGTGCAAAAGTGCCCAAACTTGTGTCAGGAGGAGATGTATTTGGCAAATGTTGCTTTTTGTTGAGATGACAGCTGGAGGAACCGAGTGGCAAAGATATCCCAAATTATGTAGGACAGACTGGAGAACAGCAGTGACCTAAATAGTAATAGTGCAAAGAAAGAAACAGCAGCAATTTACAGAGGCAGATAATGAATTGTCTGGGACATACAGAGCTTGAAAATCCTAGAGCACATCCAGGTCTCAGGAAGTCAGAAGTGAAGATCGCAGCTCTGGAGGAGGCAAGAGGCAAGAGATTCACTGAGAGAGACCGTTGAAACCATGAAAGGATCTCCTTATGGTTCATTTTCATTATAAAAAGAACCCCTGTAAATGAGGTGCCCATGGAGTTAATTACATGGGGATTTTTCTCACAGAGGTTTATCACAATATGTAAATTCCACAACTGAGTAGTGTGAGCCTGAATTTGGCTTGTTTTTTATAATCGGGGCTATTGTTCTAAAGTAGTATCTTAGCTCATTTCTGCACAAAAACTCAATCATCTTGAAGTGACACATGGAATTTGAGGTAATGGCCTCATTTCATGCATTTATATCACAGTTCCCAATGTTTTTGTCATATACTTTCTCAGATTTGAATTTTGTCATACTTGAACATTCTAATTGCTGTGCTTGTAAAAGGTAATATGTTACAGAAAGCTTGGGAAACAGAAAAACATAAAAAAGAAAGCAAAAATGACCCATAATCCAAAACCAGTAACTAACCACTGTTGTTAAATGTTTTATATATATGTGTGTGTCCATATATGTACATGCATGCACATGTGTATGTATGTCACATATGGACACACACATATATATGCTTTATGAAAATGATGGCATAGATGATATATACACATATAATCTATATATTTTCTTAGTATTATAGAGCATATTATACATTCTATTTTGTATTTGGGGTTTTTTTAGTTGACATTACATATGAGCATTTTTCCATGTCATTAGAAATAGTTCAAAAAGATTTATGTTAATGTGCTGCATAATATTTCACTATATGAAGCTATCATAACATTGGAGCATTCTCCCGAACTGTCACTGGATAGTTCAGTGAGGTGTGTATTTTGAGAAAATGAGGTAGGATGTCTTTTCTACTGATGCCGCATTATTCTAGAATGGTCACTTTCTCATCCTCACTTTCTCTTGTCAGCACCACGACCACGGTTGAAGAGCATTGGTCGTGGTCAGGATCGTCAAGGCAACAGAGAATGAGTAGCTTTGCCCCTAAACCAACTGTTTCTTATACCTTCCCTGCATGATCACTTTTACAAATCATTTTTGCCCCTACCACTCCGCCCATCCTCAGGCACATGTCTGAGTTCATGCATACATACATACACACCCAAATTGAGACCTAAACATGGGAGGAACGTCTTAAAGTCCCTAAATTACATCTTTCTTTCATCATTCTTTATGATGTACGTGTAAAAACAAAGTGTCTTAAAGGCAAGCAATCAGGAGTTAAGTTTAGGCAAGATTGCCTGCCCTCTGCGACAGTGTACTGAGAGCCAGGGCCATGGCATGAACCCCGAGAGGGAGAGCCGAGCCCGTGCTCGCGAATATGCATCAGCAGGGCTGGACAGAGCACCATTGTTTTGATATCTTTCTGTTTTCACAGGTGCCACAGAGTCATTTTATGAGGCTTCACCATGACCCATGCCATAGAAAGACAAATATAGCTATAGTTTTGCTGAATCCAGGTTTAAAGCTCCTTGTTCAAACAAAAACATCATTTCTAAATCAGTCCAAAGCAAAGTCCAACGTCTTGAATTCTATACACTCCCCCTTTTATTCCTTTTCTTCGCGTCTACTTGTCTCCTTCAGTGTTAGTCTCCATTTTAAATATCATCAGCTGATAAATCAATTGACAAAGATCTGCAACAGTTCATTTTAATATTGAAAATGACAAATTACAGCCATAAATTTTTTCAGGAGAGAAGGCAATGGTATGCATTTCTGTACTCCAAGATTGATGTAGGCATGTATAAAGATACTAGTGTCAGGTAAAAAAATAACTTCAAAGTCAATTTGATTTATGCCTTAATTGACTGCTATTAGATAACAGTGTATGTCCAAAGCTATTATTAAATAGAAGGACTTTGGAAGATGGCCATTCTTTAAAATGTAGTCCTCTTAGAAAGAAAATTCCCTTAATTACTAGATGTATGAATTATTGGAAGGAGATCATATGATTCTAATAAAAGGCAGGATTCAGCCTTTGTCTAATTTTTTTTGTCTGTCAGAAGAAGGTAGAAAAGAATAGGAAGTTTAACTCAAAAAACAGGGAGAAAAGTTAGGTAATATTCATTTCATTCATGGGTTAAATAACTATGGGATTTTGAGCATGCCCAAAAGGCAGCATCCAGTTTCTTGAATGTTGTTACTTAAGGGTAACACACACAGACACACACATTCACATACACACTCCCTGAAAAGTTCATCACACCAACGAGTGCAAAAAATTCAGTCATACAAATGAATACAGGAAAGTTAGTCACGTAAAATAAATAAATTGGTACTCCAGTGATTTCCCTTACTGGGAATGGATATCTATGTTCATGGCTTTGTTTCCCACTTTCTTTCAAACATATTTAGCTTCTCTCTTATATCCCCTTACCTTTCAGTAATTTCTTTGGAAAATACGCAGGCCCCTTCATCCCTCTCTCTTTCCTTCTTGCCTTTGCTGGTCTCCAGTCAGTGCCATTTTTACTCCTCTGATCCACAGTACTTCAAGCTCACTCTTTGCACCCAAACACCTAGGTTTGCTAGCCATATTTTTAAAAATACTATACCATCCTATATCAGAGGACGGGGTCAAAACAAAAGTCTTAGTTTATTTATTTAAATAGAAAATGTAAACATTTATATTGAACATGTAGATACTACGCAGATATGTAAATATGTACCCATCCATTCATCCCAGTGATACAGATAGAATCCATGGGTTCCTTCAGTATTCAAAAGAGGGGCTTTCTGTCATTTGCCAGTTGTAAAATGAGCATCTTCTGCTTATGCCCTACCATGCTTTGCATCTGTGCATTTAGTCTCTCCGTCTCCCACTCTTGATGGGTGCTCTGTTGCACTAACCCTCTTACCAAAACCATGAATCATAAATCCTCCACAAGCCCAGGGACTAGGCCTCAGCGAGGACCCAGTCTTACCAACCGGGGGCTTTCTGTGAAATCAGTGAAGTAGGTTAGAGTGGGTTAGTAGAGTCCCAAAGGCCTCCCAGAACTTCCACACAGCCCATAATGTCATGTTTTGTGGATCCTTTAGCCTCTACTCTGTCTCTAAACCTCACAGGTTTCCCAGGGCACTAGATAAACTAACCACAGCCATGACAATCACAGCCACCACCATAATAGCAGTTAACACTATATAATATTTTATAGACTGCAAGAAAAAATCTTTCATATTTATTATCTCACTTTAACTGCCTACCTTTATTTTGGTAGGGAATTTGCTCTTGCTAATAGTTGCCTATGATGTTTAGTCGCACCCCACTCTTCTTATAAAATACCTAAGGACCGTTTCCCAGGTATTAGATCTGCCAAGAAAAGAAACCTATTTGCTAATGCAGTTGCATAGTATCGTCAGTTCTGAAGTCCATAGATAGCTCTCTCTTTCATCAGAAGTGAGACAGTAACTGCAATTGCTTGGTAAGCATCTGGAAGTAACATTAATAATGATGATAATAATAATGACCTCATAGGATGTATAATTTGGGGATTAAAGAACATTTACAAGCTTATTGTGTCATAGTTAATGATGAGGTGCCAAGTTTTCTTGCCACCACCCCTTCCAGTGGTATTTCCTGCTTGGATCAGAGAACTAATTATAGTAAACGGTGCCCTTTCAAAGAACTTGCCCCATCCTAAAGCGTATGTTAGCGTTAAGATGTTGAACTGTTTTAGTGTTGTTTTTCAGAGATGATTTATTATTGTTATTTTGCATTTGTATAAAAAATTGTATAATGTAATCGTTTAGTGTTTATTTTATTGTGTGTACCTTCTACTCAGAGGGTTGGCATTATTGTTCCTAACAGTGACGGATACAAGCAGATCATGCCTTATGACCTCTACCATCCCCTTCCTCGGTACGTAAATCAATCATCCTGATGTTAGAATTAGCAAATCAGTCTTCTGCTGCTTTTATATATATAAATATATATATATACACGCACACACACACGTAGACTTTGTGTTTTTCTGTTAAAAAAAAAAAAAGATGGTAGATGGTATATTTTGCAATCTATCCTGAGTTCTGCTTTTGAATAGTACTAATAGTACTGGCCTGCTCAGATTGTAAGCTTGTCATTCAAAACCCATTTTAAGATAGGATCATATTACATTGGAGTGGACACAGTAATTCACTCTGATTAGATACAGTGTATGGGTTTATGTGCTATCTTTCTTTCACTCCCTTTGTCCTTTTCTGTGTTTCCTCTGCAATAGGACCCTAGTCATTAAAGCACTGTTGCTAACTGTTAAACAAACACTGCTGAAAGTATTATTGCAATACCACAGATGTGGAATTCCAGATGTGCTATTATTCTACACAGGGGCTCTAAATGTCCTCTTTTTATTTCAAAGAAATTATAATTGAGTACAAAAGGGCAATTTTTTCATATTTTTATTGTTCAGAACATTTTGGGAGAGCTTGTTTTTCCGAAACAGAAAGTTCAGTGTGCTGCATTGATTTTTTTAAAGTATAGAACTTTTTAAAACTAGAAAAAGTAACAAAAGTAACTTAAGAACTTTTAAAAGAACTTGTTCTCTTTATAATATATTCATAAGAAAACTGGAGAAGCTGAAAAATGTACTAGCTACTGAGTGTACTGCCTGCCACATTGGAAACAGCTCCACAGACAGCAGAATCAAACTTGGGCTTGAAATAGACCTTTGTTCTATTTTCTTTGCTTATTTGGTCCTCAGGGAATCAGCTGCTATTTAGAACCAGAGGTTTAAATCAGATCATAAATAGTTGAAATGATTCATAGTAATTTGTTCTATCCCAAACTAAACCAAGCCCAGAAAATAATTTTATTCTGAACTATAAAATAAAGCAAGGTTTAATGGAAAATATTCAAATACCTAATGAATTAGCATCCAAATAGAGCTCTCTTGAGGTCAGCTAGTCCAACACCCCCGTGATGCTTCATTCTCCATTCCTTCTCCACAGTCACAACCACTCATAAACATACTTATGCTTATAGATATGTAAACATATGTGCATTCATATATTCAGTGCATATGTGTCCTCGTATGCATAAATACATATAGATATTTATATAATACATATACACCAATGCAGGTTGTATCCAGTGTCTACTTAAATACTCCCAGGGACTGGCAGGAAACTCACTTTTCCCATAATGATCACATGTAGAAGGGGGATTTGATTTATACTAGATATCATTTTCATCTCTTTCACTAAGTGGCTACCTCATTACTCAGCTCCCTCTCATTTTCCTATGACTATATTGATAAAGAAAATAAATGACTTTAGAATTTTCCTGATGTATCATTTGCAGGTTTGATTAAGAACTCTTCTCTTTAAAAGAATTTAATGAAAATATCAAAAAGTTCATTTAACTGAACCAGAATTTCATCTGATTTCGATTTCTCTATCTGTAAAATATTATTCAAAGGATACATGTATCTATGTGAAAGCCATACATTTTATGATAAAGGCAAAGTTGGGTGTAAGGAGTGAGCAACATCAAGTGTATATTTTTCCTGTAATGGCAGCTCCTAGATTTCTGTCATATCTATGATCTCTCTTGTTTATATTTCTCTGGCATAATGACTAGTGCCCATTTTAGGTTAAATTTGATTTCTTACAGCCTGCGATTTCCCCCAAATGCCTAAAGTCCAGTGGTAAATTGAATTGAAATGATCCTCCTTGATGTTTGTTTGCACCATGTCCTTGTGTACACTTTGGCATGTCCATGCATAACAATGGGAAAGGACAATTGACAAATAGACTGTATTTCTTAACCCTTGCACTTTTGATACTGAACTAGTTCTAAAGTTAGCTATTCCGCTTTACTGATAAAGTCTTAGTAAATGGAAGCTATTTCTGCAAATGTGTTTTCATTTAATAAAAAGAATTAAGGCTCAAAACAGTTCTCAAATGACAGATACCCACTGATTAAGGCAGAAGGCTTTACTTATTTAAATTATTTAAATGAGTTTAAGACCACAAGTGTGGATACAAAACACAATTTAATGAATTTTTAGATTGTTCTTTCCTGATTGCAGTCTTTGACTATAACACCTATTTGAATATAATATGAAAGTAGACTCTGATAAATTATCTTAACTCATAATTAATATATGCCACTTTTCTATATCCTTCTTAATTGTGAGAATTTCTTAAATATACTGTGTGTTTAAAAACGTTAAAAGCCAAAATGTATGATATACAAATTCATTTACTGTTCTTCCACTTCAAGATTCTTGGATATGTCTTTTTTCATTCCAAGCACTTACCTGATTACAGTTTTAAGACCTCCTGACTGATGTCCTCTTTCAGCTTTTGTTACACTTTAAGTCACCCAGATATGTTGTGCGTTAAAATTCCACATAATCCTATTATACAAGGATTCACATGACAATTTTTTACATATAGAACTGTAGTTGTATGCTGGAACCATACTATAAATTCTCAGAATAACATTAGCATCATTTGTCTTTCTGTGATCACTGACATTGAAAAAGATACCTATTACTATTTGTGAAATATGGTCAGGTCCAAGTGTGGAGACAGAAATTAATCACTCTCCCTTTAGAAGGGTCAAGTTTAGCGATTTTAGAGTACCAATTAGAAAACATGCTCTTTTATGGCATCTTAATAGTCTAAGTAATTAAATGTACATTTAAAAACGTACTCCTACTTCACTGTCACATCAAATCTAATGTGAATGTGTACTTAAATATTCATCCCAATTTCAATCTGAGTCAGGCCTGTTATTCACCTCCAGAAGGAAGCCCACCAGAGATTTACATGGAGGCAAGAGAGAATTGGTCTTATCCTTTTGGAAGAGAAACTCTCTACAGAGCTACTTCATTCTCTTGAAAGAGATCAGAAAATCTCCCAAGAACTAAGCAGATGGCCTCAGTTTCCCTATAATGACATTTTCTTATATGTTTCTTGGGGGCATATGCATAGGAAAATATTGTATTTGGCAGCACATTTTGGCTTTTGGCAGTGAAGACAATGGTCGTTGCCTAAACTCCAACAGTGCAGAGAAAGTGTGAAGGAAAACCCTTTGTAACTGGAAAACGCACGTTATTCAGGCTCATGCAGAAGAGAAATCAAGCTCACAATGTTCACGAAATCCTACTTACAGAAATATTAATGTTTTCATGATATGCCTGTGCAATACTCTAAAATTTAACTATTCGAGTGGATCAACTCAGTGGCATTTTATTTCTCTCTCATTGAAATCACATCTCCAATAATTGTAAGAGAGACATTAAAGCTCTTTAGCATCCTTATCAATAAGGAGAATATATGTAAGAAATACAAGCTCAGCTCATTCAGTCCCAATGTTTCTGTTTTTAGAAATTCTACATTCTCTAAATCTACAAAAGAGAGAAAAGAATTAGGCAAAGACATCTCTCTGCATCTGGATCCAACTGCTTCAAAGCTGTGTAGAGCTCTGAAAAGTCAATGGAATTCTCTTAAACATTATTGACAATATTGTTATTTTCTACTTAACTGTATATCTAGATTCAGATGCCATTAGCCTTCCAACCAAAACCAAACCTCTTCACAGTTCCAGAAATGCTTTACTGGAGGAACTCTAACTACCAGTATCCTTCAAAAGTTAGAAAATAAGTCGATAAGGCCTATATTAACACTTCTTTTCCTCAGCTTAATGACACAGTTTGAACATCAGCATTGTGCTGAATCTGTGTAGTCCCAAAGCTAATGATTACAGAAGTAGAGTCTTTTGTTTACCTGGCTTTTTTATGAGCTTCTCCTATAAAAAGTACCTAAAAGTTAAGTAATGAAGTATTACTAAAATGAAAATAAAAAAATATCAGCCCATGTACAAAAGTTTAGTGTTAACTTCTTTTCCAACTTTAGTCTTGACATTGATACTTAATGTGTTTATGAAACTCAATTAGATCTATATTGAAACTATAGGAAGAAACGTTGAGGACTACATCTTTTAAGTAGGTTAGAGACAGAGCAGAAAGCTTTGTGGATGGCTCTCAAAACTGTAATTTCTTCCATTTGTGTAGAGCTTCATGGTTTACAAAGCACTTCTGCCAACAGGGAATGCTTCTCTCTTAGTCATCAGATTTCAGGCCATAGGTGGCTTTTGGTTCTCTGGACTGTAGCCTCTCAGAACCTGAGCATACCAATAGGCACGGGGAATGGGTTGGTCTGCCGGTCACTGAGGAGGTTTGGCCATGTGCATGTCTGCCCTGATGACTACCCTTGCTTCTGTAGGTGGGAGGCCACCCCGTGGACCGCGTGCTCCTCCTCGTGTGGGGGGGGCATCCAGAGCCGGGCAGTTTCCTGTGTGGAGGAGGACATCCAGGGGCATGTCACTTCAGTGGAAGAGTGGAAATGCATGTACACCCCTAAGATGCCCATCGTGCAGCCCTGCAACATTTTTGACTGCCCTAAATGGCTGGCACAGGAGTGGTCTCCGGTAACTGTGCCTTCTTTCTTTGTTCATTAGGAGAGTAAGGCCACTCTTCCCTCTCATCATCATGGCCCCACCGGGTACCCTGTGCAGCTCCACACTTCTCCTCTTGAGGTGTCTAGAAGCCTACCAGCTTAGCTCCTGGAGTAGGAATGCCCCAAATCCAGCATGACCAAAAGTAAATGATGTTTTTTTTAAATGTCTTTCTTCAAGTTACTTCCAGAAGCCCCTGTTGCCTCCCAGATAATGTTCCCTCAAATGGCAAAGGGAAACAAATGTCCTTCAAGAGTAATTGAGGCTGAATGACTGATCCTGAATCATCTGTGAAACTGCTTTGTTGATAGAGTTCAGTAGACCAGAAGTTTGATTTCATTTTTTTATCATACTTTATATCCAAAAAGGGTCTAAGTAGATTAAAATTAATACTATGAATATTATTTATTGGCAGAAAGGGGTGAAATGAAAAAAGCATAAAAATTAAAATTGGGATGTGGTAAGATAATTAAAACAAAAAAATGTTACAGACTTTAGGAAACCTGCTGTCATTGAACATAAAATGTTATCCTGGGTTTCCTGGCTGCTAACATAAAAATGGAAATGGCAAAGGAAATAGAAAGATGAACTAAGCCATTGTGTCCTCAGCCACAGAAATGACAAAAGCCTCTTCACTGAGCCCTGTGGCTTTGTGGCAGCAGATCAGGAGGCAGCAGATCAGCGATGTTTTCTGTATCGAGACACGCTACCAGATGTGGAGAACCATTGGCGGTGCTATCTGTGTCTGCCATCTGGCCTTTGAATGAGTTCCTTGAAACCTTTTTTCCCATTTCAATATAATCAACTGGATTGGCCACACCACACTATAAATTAGCTATGATGGCAGTTTTAAATTTTTAAATATTCACGTAGGAGCATTTTCCATATTTTTGGACGCAGCAGTCATTAGCAAAGTAATAAATAAAATGCGGTGTTGCAAATCGAAATTTAACACACTCAACGGTTTCTTTTCTCCTTTATTTGGGTACTTGGTTTGAGACTTTTTGCACAGGGGGTGCTTAAAGATTGCTGACTGATTAAAGATTAGGAATTGAAAGTGATTCCATTTTTAGCCAGCTTCGCCTCAAATAACCTAACAGAACACAGATCCCAGGAATGGTAAGAAGTGGTATATACATTTACCAGGAGTCCTCTTCTAAAAAGGAGTCCTTAGATTTAAAGTCTTGGGTGGGAAGTGAAAAAAAAGTCCATGAGACTTTGCCTGTGAGTCTTTCTCCTGCAATCTCTTTCCAGTGCACAGTGACATGTGGCCAGGGCCTCAGGTACCGTGTGGTCCTCTGCATCGACCATCGAGGAATGCACACAGGAGGCTGTAGCCAGAAAACAAAGCCCCACATCAAAGAGGAATGCATCATACCCACTCCCTGCTATAAACCCAAAGGTAATTTGACAGGTGTTCTCCTACCAGTCTGTTCCTTCTTCTGTGTATGCAGGTGCTGTTTTAAACTCCTTGGAATATTTTTAAGTCTCCCAAGTATTCTTAGTACAAATTCTTTATGACTTAACTCTACTAAATGAACTTGATTTCTTTTCTGTAAATCTTTCCAATGGTTTTCATTACAAAGTTTTAAGTACTGCATATAGAAATATATTTCTAGAACTATCTCCCAAGTCATAAAATTGTTTGAAGACTGTTGCTGAGAAATATCAGATATAACTACTAAGAGGAAGATCAGATATTATAGAAATAATTGTGCGACTTACTGTCCACATTTCTTGCTGTTGTAAATGGGATCAATCCAAGTGCGTCTACCTGAAATACATTGGGAAATCTCATACTTCAAACTGATGAAACAGGAAACTGTCACTTTTTATATTAAAAATTAAAACATGAATATGAGACTGAATTCCAGAACCATAATCTGAAATAAAATTTGAAATATATCATAATTTAATAGATATTACAAATAACTTATTTAAAAAGGAACTTTAGAAAAGTTCTATTTAGTGAGCAAGATTTATTATAATTATATCTAGTCTTTCAGGTTAGCATGAATACTAATCTGATTTCCGTGCAAGTATTGTTACCTATGTGAATGAAATTGAAAAATCCAAAAATCTAAAGTCACAAACCATTCAGAAGTAAATAATTCTTTATTATAAACCTCGTCTAATTTTTAATATTTAAATATGGTTCCCATTTCTTTCTTAAGCCATTTTATTTTGTTAACCATTAAATTTCTCTGAAAATCAGCCACAATGTAACTCTTTATTATACTATAAATTACCTTGTTGCAAATGAATGACATCATAAAATCTAAATTAATGATACAAAATGAAACCAAAGAACAAAAGCATACCAGAGATCCTGATTAATTTTAATAAATTTTGCTCTCTCTAAGCCTCAGTTTCCTCATCTGTAAAATGGGAATAATAATATTATCTATCTCAATGATCATGTGATAGTTAAATAAGATATAATGTAAATAGAGTGGTTAGCCTAATGCCTGGCATACAGTAAGTTCTGCTCAAATGTTTCCTTTAACTCTTGACTATCATTAATGTCCTCAAATATAAGAGGAGGTCGCCACAGGCACATCAGATAGGATTCAGTTCAAATCAGTAGTAAAGTATTGCATTCCTACTATTAGTGCCAAACTGAATGCTTCATTACTGAAAGACAACTAACTCACATTAGAGATAGCTTCACTGACTGAGTCATTTAATTGGAATAGATGGGGTAATTATAAAATGATGTCTGTATAGATATTATATTACTGTGTTTAAAACATTACCAAATCCTTTTGGCATTGGCAGTTTTCCATTTCTCACTCACTTTGTTTTCTGACTGTAAACAATTGCTTTACATAGAGGACAAGAAGTGATGGCCCTAGCTTAGAATGGTGATTATTTATTAGCTTTATCTTCACCAAGCCATTTCAGAGAAAGAAAAGCAATTTGTGGGTTACTGTCAAGAATGAAATCTGGATTTTCAGAACTAAGAAGTGAGACTGGCCCTCTAAACATCATTAAAATACCATATAATTCTATGGGGTGTATATATATTGATATATTTCTTTCATCTTTGCAATTATATGTTATAAATGGTGATAGAGCTTCATTGGCTCATACTATAAAGGCAAATATGCCTATAAATGACCCTAATAAATATGTCAGAATGGGAATCTTGGCAGTTACTTCTGTAGGAGCAGTTATAACCTCCCTCTTGATTTTTCTCCTCCACATTTTTTCCTTCAGGAAGTAGTTAGGAAGGTTGTTCTGAATTATTTGGCCAAAGCTAGATAAATAGGTGAAACCAGTCAAATTATGGGTTTTGAACTCTTAAGTTGTACATATTCCAATTGTCAGTGAGCCTTGGGGTAGCATTGAATGAGTCGGATATCTAAAGCAATGTTTTGTAAATTTCACAGCAGCAGAGTTTGTTTTTGATAATGTGATCTAGGTCACACTTAGGCAAAAGGCAAAAAGAAGTTAGAATTTATAAAAATATTACAGTGTAACTGATTATACTTTGTGTTTGTTTTAAAAAGTAAATATTGCTCTATCTTTTCAATAGGAAATAGTGAAAAGATACTTTGTTGATTTCTTTATATGCATACTGAGCTAGGGCTCCTAGAGTTATGACGACTTTCATAATAAAAGGACTTTGCTATGCAACATAATAAAAAGGAAGCATACATACAGACAAGTATTATTAAACATATTTTAAATCCTCTTTTACTTTTCTGATATAACCATCATCAGAGGCAGCAATTTACCTAAAAACTTATTATTTGTGGTTGTCAACATAGTAACTTCTAGGCATAGTGCAAAACTAAGAAGTGGTGATGAAAAAAGGAATTTCACTGAAATTCCAGATTGGTTCTAACTTCTTCTCTTGTATGTGCATGCACTAACTTCTCAGAGAAACTTCCAGTGGAGGCCAAGCTGCCTTGGTACAAACAAGCTCAGGAGCTAGAAGAAGGAGCTGCTGTGTCAGAAGAGCCTTCGTAAGTTTTAAAAGCACACATTGTTCTACTTTTGAAGCTGATTGGTTTAAAGAAAGCAGTGCCTCACTGATTGTGGCTTTCTGGGTTCTGAACTAAGTGTAATCATCTTACCAAAGGTGAAATGAGGCTTTTGGGCACTCTAATTAGAGATTTATGAGTTTCAAAGTGTTTGTCACAACTTATGATTGGTCTCCAAATACTTTTTAATTTTGCCTCAAGTAGGAAACTGAAGGCGTAGTGCTTGCCCTCATCTCCAAAACCTGACCTGACCTTTTCTCTTGGCAAGGAACCGAAGGTGAGAAGGGCCAGGCTGCGTCTGATGATGTAACATAGATTTGATGTGAAAGCCCTGGCAGTTTTCCACACTCCTCCTCTCCCAGCTTTGCAATATAGCCATTCACCAAAATTAAAGGGTAAGGAAAACATATCTGCAGGCAAAGGGAGTTTATTATTTTCTTTTCCTTTTCATGCTGCCATTGGTATCAGAGGGAGACCCAGGTTTTTGCCCCACTTGATCAGGATTTCAGCCTGCTCAGTTTCATCAAGGCCAGATGCTCCAGAAAAGGAAATGAAGGGAGACAAATTTGATTGATTGATTGATTGATGAGAATATATATATTGATATTACTAGAGGACACTGACAGGCATATCTGCTGCATCAATTTTACAAATAAGAGAATGTACTTTATTGACAAATTTTTATCTATGACCCAAGCAATTTCTCAGGCTCTGTATTATTCACTGGTACACAAGACATATTATGCTCCCTCCAGAAGTTCACTGTATAGCATGTAGGATATGAAATGCTTTCCAAGTTTAACTCATAATTTAAATTTTACTAGAGATATAAATTAGCATTTTAATCTCTATATTCAATGCAATTTAGAATTTTCTCAGGTTCATCCTGTTTGATTTGAAATCTGATGTGGTTTGCCAGAACATAATTGTGTTCCTGAATCTTATTCTAAACTATAAAAGATTCGACAAGAAATCCAAAATATAGATTTGTACAATAACCAGAGGTCATTTGTAAGGAAATTATATTATCACTCAATTTCACAGAAAAATGATACATACCTTAGGCAAAACATTTCTTACTTAAAAGGACAATTAAGCAAAACATAAATTATTTCTGTAAAGTTACTACAGGACCCTTTTATACTTGTTTGAGAAAAAGCAACTAACCATTGCAGAACTTTGGAAGAAAGGCAATGGTTTAAGATCACGATGCAACCTACAAGTGAATACATGAAGCTTAAAATGTTTCCTCTTTCTCTTGCTAGTACATGGTTTGACAGGCCTTCCTGTTGCTGAAGAGGAAGTAAGCAGTTCATTTTAAAAGGGCATTAATTCCTTAATCCACTAAGGTTCTATTTAAGACACAGAAAGATGCTATGTAATTGGAGCTGGTTATTCCTTTTATGTATTTTTGGGTTAAATATGCTTAAAACCAAATAAACTCTCTGCTCTCATTGTACACTATATTTTGCCACTTGGTCTAAAGCATAACCCCATCTATAATATTGCATTCTGACTGGTGTTAAATAACAAAGTTGAAGGTAAATAAAAACATCATACATCAATAATGAAACATATTTCCTGTTTTTAGATGCTTCTGAAATGAAAGCTGTAAGTGGAGTTTAATGCTTCTGCAGAAGCATTGCATAGTCCATGGTCAACCCTATTTTCTAATTTTTTTTCCTACTAAAGGTCCGATTAAGATGCATTATGTTTAGCTTTACTCTTAATAAAATCCCTGAAGTAGTCAAATACATAGCTTTAGCCATTGAAACTATAGCCATATATGAGACTATTAAATTTTACTCTTAGTGTAGTGGAATTGCCATCTTGGCATGATTAATCTGAATTGAAGTAGGTTGTAATTGGAGTGGCAGTGCAGGGTAAAGGAAATGTATACTATTATGTGCAGAACAATAATTACTTTTATACCAAAATGAAATAAATGACAGCTGTAGAATAATGTAATGAAAGGTATATGGTTTCCACATTTTAATATACTTTACATGTTTAGTGCACTGAACTCTAAGAAAGGTCCTAAGTGTCACATTATTATTTTTTATTTTCATTGATTTTGAATTTAAAAAACATAATTTTGCATGATCTTAATTCCTTCTTTTTTAAACCCCATATGCCACTTTTGAACTGTATGTAACAACCTATAATTACTCTCCAAAGCATAATGAAACAATGATATACTGTCAGCAAGTCATCCCTTCCCCCCACCAAAGAGACTCACATTGCTTAAATTAAATGGTAATGTTTTGGAGCTGTGGCTGTCACTTCTGAACTGCTTCAGTGAAGCAGGAACAGTGGTGCAGAACTATTATCTTTTGCTTTGGCGCTAGCAAACATTGTAGAGGGCTATAGGAAAGCAGCATATATCATGTATTTCCCCATATGGAAAGTGAAAATATTATCACCAAACTGTCTCAATTAGATAATACAGGAAAATCACCAGATTAAGATCTTTAGCATATGAAGATACCCTTATTAAATGTTAAATACTTTTAGTGATCCTAAAATGTAAGAAAAAGATTAGTTAGCACCCTGGCCAAAAAATATGTTGGAAAGCAACCACTCTAAGATGTTTAGAAGAAAACTAATGATAAAAGACTAAAAACTGAATTGCCAAGAACTAAAACTTTATAGAACAGAAGAATGTACCAACAACCAACATTATAGTTCCACTAAACACCATGCAGAAGATGCAAATACAGATGTCAGTCTCATAGATTCACTGAAAAAAGTATGGAGATTGGATCACATTATGGTAATATACTTAGATAGATAGATTCATCATATAAAGCTGTAACATCTATTCAGAAATACTTCCAGATACTGATTTTTTTCACCAACAACAGAAGGCTTATTCATGATTTATTTGATACATATGGTAGAAAAGTAGGAATATTGTTATGAATATATTTTCTTGGTATGCAAAACACGAATTCCTAACCCACTTGTGGGAGTCATACCTTCTAAGCTGATTTTTCACTGGTGGTCATGGTTTGCCTTGATCCAGGTACTAACATACGTTTTTATCAGGTTTTCCTGAAAACCAGCAAGGTGTTTTGTTCTCTCCCATTGAGTAGAACAATGCAAACAAGATCCAAATCCCAAACTGAACTAAGCGATAGAGTGCTTTAGCCAGTGAAGCTCATCAAACACAATCTTATAAATAAATACAATAAAATGAGCTGACTTCAAAGGATCTCATCTGAGGAATCAATTAAAAAATCCTTGCTTCCCAATTAACACAGAATGAATTGTGGTTAAAGATAGACTTCTACAATTAAGATTCTAGGGAGTTGCATTTTTCTAAGTGTAACAGTAGTGCCATTTTAGCACTAGAAAAGGGGGATGAAAAAAATGATGATGGAATTTTCTTCTGTTAACATTCAGACTGTGTCATTTTGAATTTGCCTCTAGCTGTTGAGAGTGTTGTTAGACTTAGGATGTATCCTTTAAATGCCAGATTGAGCCCATTTGGTTGCATCTATTGAAAAATATGTGGGAATAGCTTTCTAGGTCTTTTTTGAAACCCTCCAAAGTTTACTTTTATTTGGTGGGGTATCAGAACTACAACATGGTAGTACAATTATTTTTGTTAATCAGGTAGGAGATAACAAAATTACTGACATATTTTCTGTCTCTTATTTTTATCCCTTACTTTTAGTCTTTGTTGAGATGTATACATAGACATCACTACCACCTCAAGGCAAGTACCTATTATGACCCCACTGACAGCTTAATTTCTTGAGGAAAAATGAAACAGTGGTGATCTCTTGGACATTTCAAGAAAGGTTGTTGAACAGGAAGTCATTCAGCTAACCTTAAAAAGTCTGATCTGACTTGGAATAGGAAGGAAATTGTTCATTTCCTTAACTCCTTTAGGCCACTAACGGGCTACCAAATGCCTAATTTGCTAAGTGAGCCATGCTTTAAAAAAAAAAAAAAGAAAAGAAAGAAAGAAAATGTTATGTCTTGTTCTTTTTTCAGACTTCCTGATCTCTAAAACAAGGCATCCCAGGTAGAGGAAGTGAGGACTAATTGAGCACTTAGGGAAGCCAGGTTCTTCCCAGATATATTTCATTTGCCAGTAGTTCTTTGATGGCTCAGAACAAGCAATAAATAGGATATGGTAGCTCCTTTGGGCACCATGTAGCCGACCATTTTAAGCAGACATCCTCTCCTCAAATAGCTGGCATTTACCAGGTAGAGAAGCTCAAAGATGCCATGATCTCCAAGGTAGGATTGGGTAGTCTTTGTACCATGATCTTTCATTTTAAAATATCTTGAGTGATCTTTTTGGGTTTTCAGTCAATGGCTTTGCATGGTGAAGAAACCATTTTTGTGCTTCAACATATTATTCAGACCTTAAACGTATTGCCACAAATAACCTTGGTGTGATCCATTAAAAAAAGAAGAAAAAGGGAAAGAGCAAGCGGGCAGAAGGCAGCAGGATATCTGGATGCCAGATGGCATCAGCTTAGTGATGGGGTTGATTCAATAGGAAGCAAAGGGAAATTCCTGTCATGCATCTGTGAGAACAGAACCCACAAAGAATCAGATACATAACGAAAAGCCGAAAAGCCGGTAAGAATAGCCATGGCGATCCTGCAGTCACTAAATGCCTTGTTTACCTTGTTGAAAGTAGTATTTAAATATAAAATATTTAAGCATATGTTTACATTAGTCCATATTTATACCTAGTAAATAGTCTGAGAATGTGGATGGCTTAACTCAGTGGTTAAGAATGTGAATTCACATATTTTTAAAAAAGTGGCTAGAAATGTTAATTGTGTGATGTGTTTTTAAATTTCCCCCAAAGAATATGTGGTGAATCAAACATCAATAAATGATTCCAGATAGTGTTGCTGTTTATAGTCTCATTTTAAAATACCTGAATTACATTCTTTTCATGAATCTCAGGCCACAGAAAAACAACAAGGAATATCTGGTGTGTGTATAGAAACAGA